GATGAAACTTGGGCGAGAGAAGGTTGTGTGTTGTGTTTTGAAGACTAGGCCCAGAACAGTATAGGTTCGACAAAATACAGCACAACACAATTGTGATGCAGCGCGAATTTCAATTATTCCAATACCTGAGCAAAGCAAGCGCAGATAAAATTTAAATCCAAGTTTTTGCAGAATTCTGGAAACCAACTGAAAGTGACTCAGCAAGATCACCAAAGGCTACATGTTAGGAAAGGGGAAAAATTCCCAGAAACCTTTGTTCCCCAATCTTCAACTCTTTTACCAGAATTGGCTTACAGTGCAAAACACAGAAAAAAGGTTGAATTTCTGCTAATCACAATCTCTACGTGGGGCCATAGAACTGAACTGAAAATGAAAACGACAATTAAGGCTGTTTCTCAGTTCCCTTCATCAGCATGTGAATATGTAGAAAAGTCTGGTCCTAATGAGAGACTAAAGTAAGTATCTGAAGTTTCTGTGAAAAACAAAATTTGCCTATTTTTAAAATATCAGAGGAAGTTTTACTGATATTATAGACAAGCAACACATCTGCTATTCAGCTTTCATAAACACTGAAAAAAAAAAACACTTCCCAGTCATCTGAAGACAACTAATTGTGTGTGTGTGTGTGTGTGTGTGTGTGTGTGTGTGTTTGGGCCACACCCAGTGGTGCTCAGGGGTCACTCCTGGCTCTGCACTCAAGAATAACTCCTGTTGGTATTTGGGGGTCCATATGGGATGCTGGGGATCAAAACCAGATTAGCCACATGTTAAGGCAAGCGCTTTTCCACCTCTCACCATCTCTCCAAGGCCAAGGACATCTATTATCCAAGTAAATGGGAAAAGATCCATTTTAACTTAAATCCAAGACAGTAAAGTAAAGTAAGTAAAGGCCCTCCCGTTGATCGTCGATTTGCTCGAGCGGGCCCAGTAACGTCTCCATTGGAGACTTTGTTGTTACTGTGTCTGGCATATCGAATACTCTCGGTAGCTTGCCGGGCTCTCCGAGAGGGGCGGAGGAATCGAACTCGGGTCGGCCATGTTGGCCGCTTGTAAGGCAGACGCCCTACCCGCTGTGCTATCGCTCCAGCCCGAAATCCATGGCCTTTAAAATCCAAGACATGTGGAATAAAATATAGCTTATATAAGATATAGCTTAATGATCTCATTTTCATACAAAAATTCTGAAAGTGATATGTGTTTAGAAAATAAATCCTTCAAAGGCTTCTAGCATATATTCTGATTAAAGTGGTACTTAAATTAATACCAGTATACTAACTATATCAGCAGTCTCTAGGTTTTCTTATGTAGCACTGGAGCACTGTCCTCCCGCTGTTCATCGATTTGTTCGAGCAGGCCCAGTAACGTCTCCATCATGAGACTTGTTGGTACTGTGTTTGGCATATCAAATACGTCACGGGGAGCTTGTCAGGCTCTGCCGTGCGGGCGAGATACTCTCTGTAGCTTGCCGGGCTCTCCGAGAGGGGCGGAGGAATCGAACTCGGGTCGAACATGTCAGCCGCGTGCAAGGCAAACGCCTTACCCGCTGTGCTAGGTTTTCTTATAGAGAGGAAAAATTCAGGAGTGATCATTCTGTTATCTTTTTCACTAAGCTACTAAAACTATTTTTGAACTTCATGGTCATTTTCATTTTATGGTAAATTCACTACAGATAATAAAGAAGGGCACCACCCTGGGGCCAGAGGTGTAGCTCAGTGGAACAGCACCTGCCTTGTATGATTAAGGCCCTGGGTTTGACCCCTAACACTGTCCCTCCACCCTCCTCCCCCAAAATAAGAAATTTAAAAAGCATGGACTGAGAGATAGCACAGGAGTTGGAGCACATGCTGGGTTTGATCCCTGGCACCATATGGCCTGGTCCTCCAAGTGTCACTAGGTGCAGCTCTTGACAGGAGCAATACCGGGTGTGCCCTGGAGGTCTCCAGCCACCCCTGTAATGGCCAGATTCATCTCAATCACCAGAGCACCTAGTAGCAGTGCATCCTCCAGCCCCAGTATTGACCTCTGTCCTGGGTCAAGAATCACGGGTAGGGCCTCCAGATCCTCTGAACACCGCTAAGGAGCCTCTCCAAAAATAAAAAATAAAAAACATAAGCAATGCACTGATCTGGGCCATCTCTAGCATACACAAGAAGAAATACGTCTTATTCCTAAAAGATGATTTTGCCCTGATTGTATTATCAGCTGAAGTGATGGGATATTTTTGTCAGAGGCCCTGAATATTCTATGAATGTATTCTGCAAGAGGATTGGAATAGAAATCAGAACACAGTTTCTTTCTCTGTGGCTAATCGTTCTCTGTGCGTTATTCTAATTCTGCAAGCAGTTGCCTAAATTCACTCAGGAGCAAGGACCAAAGAAAGACACAAGAATAGACCGACCATATCATAAATAATTAGGGCTCACTCACCTGCCACTATCCTTGTTTATCTGCAGAAGGCTAGTTTTGAAGTCCTTCCAAAGCTGTCTGAGAACTACGTCCAACAAACTCTTCTTCTAAATCTAATACTCCTAGTTCCTATTATAGATCTTTATAAATCTACTTTTCTGACAACAGGAAGATTTTGAATTGGTTTCAGCTGCCTCTAACACTTACACCATTCAACAGCTGGGGTGTACAATAGCTCGGCAACCTGGTAATAATCTCTATGCAAACTCGTCCTTTAACCAGGGAAGTTTGTCAAAAATCAAAATCAAAATATCTTCTATTAAGTTGGAATGGAAATGGAAAGTGTCTCCAACAATGCGTGATTTCAGAAGAGGAGCAACTGCACCGTTGAAAGTTTCGTGGACTGACACTCCCTATTCAAAGCCTACAATTCTTTTCGGATTAGATCAGTCCCCATGGCAAGTCATCAGGGTAAGCTTTGTAGTGAAGTCATCGTATTGGATGCTGATGGGAAATCATTACTGGCTTCAAACCCCCATGAGGGAAACAATGAGTTTTCCAGGTCTCTAGCTTTTCAAGTAGTACACTGGCCAATACCCTTACTTTCCTTTCCAAGACGAAATGAAATACAGAACATCAATAAAGCCAAGTATACGTGGATGGCCTAAGCATTTTTAAACTACAAAGAAAAGAAGCAATTCTCACTTTTTACAGAAATTTTGGACTACATGCTGGAAAAAGTGTATATTTAAGTGAAATCCGATCATTAAGTTAAAAGTGTGTGTGTGTGTGTGTGTGTGTGTGTGTGTGTGTGTGAGTGCACGCGCACGCATGTGTGTTTCAAGGCCACACCCAGTTGTGCTCAGAGCTTACTCCTGGCTCTATACTCAGGAATCACTTCTGGTGGGTTCAGAGGACCAGACGGGTTCAGAGGATGGAACCAGGTCAGTCACATGCCAGGCACACACCCTACCTGCTATCCTGTTTCTCCAGGCCCCGTTAGGTTATGATTTAAATGAAGGGCAGTGAGAAATGGAACAGTATTCATTAAATGGCATTTAATTTCCTTTTATTTCCAAAAGCAGCTAAGTATTGCTTGCTTTTTCGAGACAAATGAAATCAGCACTACTGTTAGCCTTGCTTTCAGACAGACCTTAGGTCGCCGGTATGTTAATGAAGTAAAAAGAGGACAAATTCATACAGCTGTAATTTGGTTCAAACATGTAAGATTTATACGCATAAAAACTTTCAGGTATTTTTTTCTGACTTTAATGGACATGAGTATATAACTTAAAAATGTTTATCAGTCTCATCTGATATATTTTCCTCTTTTAAATTTCTACAAATGACTAAGAATCTTTCTTTAGATGAGAAGATGGCTGTAAACATGAGTCTGGTAGACACAAACACATCTGCTTTAGCTTAAAACATCGCTACACTTGCTCAGTGATAATATTATACACAATAGAGTCTGGGCGGAAAGGAATTCTGATTGTACGATTTACAGAATTCTAGACAGATTTAAAGAATATTCATGATGAGATACATGATAAAAAGAGGTTTAAAAAACATGACTGTGGGTAGATTTTTAAATTCTTGAGAGATCTGTAATTAAATCATTCGGTTATATATATCTTCTACTGGTAAAAAAAAATTATGAGTACCTTCAGTTTAAACTGTATAATCCTACTGAACATGGAGTTTCTAAAACCATGAGCAAATATTCAAAGATTGCCACAGAATTTGTATTCAGCCTATGAAACGGGCGACTATTTACAAATAAAAGCTCTGTGAGCTACCCTTGGGTGTGGAATGTCTGAGCAGACACAGTAAGAGAACTGCCAAAACTCAGTGAAAATAATTTCTAGGGGGGTAAAAAGGCTTTTTAAAATGAGAAAGGGTGCACGTTGCCTAACGAACATCAGACGAAACTGTAAAGTCAAAGCATAGATAATACTAAATTACCACGTCAACACAGAATTTGCAGGAACAGGCTATCTCTCAGAATACTCCACTTCACATTCAAAATTTACAATAAACTCACTGACAGGTCCGCGGCCACACTAGCAAATCATTTTTATAAATATATAAGACATAATAATACAGTCACAAATCCCAAACTTTTCCCCTGCTGGGTCATTTTTTAAGACAAATGATTTGCCGAGGTTCTCACTAAGCAGCCCGCTTATTTAAAAACCTTCTGGATAGGGGTTAACCATGCACCCCCATGCAAGAAGCAGCCAACGCTTCGCAATCCCGTGGAAAATTCTTCAGTGGCCACCCTCTCGGGGTGAATTATGAGTATGCGGAGTACTTAGGCGCTTTCATGAAGAAGATAAAAGGCCAAAAAAAAAAAAAAAAGCTTCTTGCAACCCAAACCTCTTCCTCTCCATCCAAGGGTGTCTCCACGCCACCCGGGCGCCCCGCCACCCCTCTCTGTGCTGGGGGGGCTTCTGCATCCCCCCGGGAAGACCTGATCCATCCCCACGACTGGCCCAGACACCTGTGTATTCCTGCCCAAGCCCCCCGGTAGCCCCGGGTGGGCACAGGTAACGGTTTCCCTGGGGTGTGCCAAGCGCCGGGGGCCCACCTACCTTTGTACCTCTCCAGAACATCCTCGTAGGCCTGGAGGTACTCCTGCTCCTCCACGTACAGGTATGCGGCGGGGGACAGGTACCCCGCCATGCCGAAGTTTGCCAAAGCGACGACGGGCCGAGCCCCCTGCCCCCACCCCCTCCCGGGGACCACCCAGCCCGGGGGGGTCCCCGCCAGACGCAGCCTCGGGAACTGGGAAACGCAGAAGCAGCGGCCGCCTAGGCGGGGAGGTGGGGGGCGGGGGGCGCGCGGAAGCTGGGGGGAGGAGACGCCCAGGACCCCCGGCGGAGCCCGGGGAGGTGGGCGGTGGGGTGGGCGCACCCGGATCCCGGGGAGCCCGACCCCGTCTTTCGGGGTTCAGCGGCAGCGAATCCCGGCACGGATCCCGGGGGTGGCGCGCAGGGGCGCCGCGCGCCGGGCGGGGGGCGAGCGAGGCGGGGGCCGGGCGAGGCGATCGGGACCCGGGCTGGGGGGCGACGGCGGCCGGGGTCCGGGGTCCGGGCCGGGGGGCGCCGCGGGAGGAGCAGGGGCGAGGCGGGAGGAGCAGGGCGCGGCCGCCGCCGCCCGGGATGCTGCGCGCGCGGCGCGTCTGCGGCCCTTCCCGGCGGCCGCGCCGCAGCCCGCGGCCCGGGGAGGAGGGAGGGAGGGAGGGAGGGAGGGCCAGCGCCGGCCACTCCCCGCGGGGGGCTGGACAGGGCCCAGCACGCCCACCGCCCGGCCCCCGGGGCCCCGTTTCTATTCGGGACCCACAACAGGTGCCCGGGAAACAAAACGCCGCAGCGCGCGCTCCCCCCACCGAGATGCGCAGCGCCCAGCAGGACGGACGGACCCCGCATCGCCCGTCCAAGGGGGCCCGGGTGGAGGCGGGGGGGACAAGACTGTTTTTTTTTTCTTTTTTCAACCCCTCGGCATATCCGAAGCGCCCAAGGACTCCGGTCCCCCCGCGGGGACCAGCGATCCGGGGGTGACATCCCCAGGGACCGGGCGGGGCGGACCTTGCAGGTGGCCCCGCGCGTCAGGGCTTGACAGCCACGCGCCCCTGCGCCTGCGCGCCGGTCACCCGGGGCCGCCCGAGGACCAGCCCCGCGGTCCCTCCCCCCACCCCCAAACCCCACCCCAGAGCCCGCCCCGGGCATCCGCGGCTGCGCCCACGGCTCCCGGCTCCCGGCAGCTGCCCACACTCCCGCTGGCTTAAGGCACCGCCCGCCTCTCCATCCACCCCCTCCTTCATCCCACACCCTGCGGGAATGCGCTCCCCTTGCTAGTGGAGCAAGGGCGTTTGCCTGGCACGCAGCCCACCCGGGTTCAATCCCCGGCATCCCCTGTGGTCCCCCAGAGCATCGCAAGGAGTAACTCCAGAGTGCAGAGCCAGGAGGAACCGCTGAGCATCGCTGGGTATGACCCCAAAACCAAAAAAACAAACAAGCAAACAAAACACGCTATGTTATTAACAGATTGAACATAGGTGCCATCCCCTTCAGGCTGGTTCCAAACAGGGTGCGATAAACAGCCTCCTGGGAGTACCAGTTGGCACCAACCAGGGCATGGAAAGGGATTCGTGGGTTCTGAAGATAGGCTGCCTTGGAGGGCCTGGCTGGATGACACAGGCAAGTTTTTTACTGAGCCGCCCTGGGCCTCTCTTCAGCAGTGGCGATCATTAGTCTTTTAAGTGTGAGCTCTTTTTGTTGACAGATAACTTGGCCAGTTGGTGACTGAGACAGCTTCACTTCTAACCACATCTTTTCTGTTACCTCTGTCCTACAAATGGACCTTTCTTGCCCTTGAGTTAACTTTCCTTTCTTTTCCAGTGTTGTAAAATCTGGGCCTTTTCCCATCAACTCTTGGATGGGGATGGGAGGAGTGGGGAAAGCCAGGATATAAACTTAATACTTCCGTTAGAAATGGAAAGCTTAACTTCCCACTAACTAACTGGTCTACTTTCATTAACTCCAAGGCAAGGCTATGTCTCTCTTTTCTGTCCTGAACGCTAGTTTCCAAATGAGTTTAATCCCACATCTTATGAAGGCTTTCGGACTAGCAGAAATTTTTTTAGAAACTTGATAGATGCGCATTTCCGTAGGCAGTACTGCACAAGCATGTTCTATGAGACATGGCAATAAGGGGTTAAATTCCCAAGACCTGTTCCATTCACTGAACACACCTGGATAGACTCAGAGCTCACAATAAATGAAGTTTGGGGGCACTGTCTGTGCATTCGTTGGTTATCAATCACTGCCAAGGAAGTTTAGAAACAGAGTTAGTTCACATTTAGTGATTTTTGTTTGTTTGGGGACCACACCCGGGGGTGCTCAGGGCTCACTCCTGGCTCTTCGCTCAGGGATGACTCTCTAGCAGAGTTCGAGGACTGTATCAGGTGCCAAGGACTGAACCCAGGTAGGCCAAATGCGAAGTAAACACCCTGTCCCCCATACTACGTCTCTGGTCCTAAAACACTTAGTGATTTAAACTGTCCCTTTTAAGAGTCAATCAAATGAAACACAGTTAGTGTTCTCTGCAAAAACAGCCTTCACCCCATACATTCCTGGAGTGATACTTGTTCAATCTGTTAGTAACAATAGTGTTTGTTTGTTTGTTTGTTTGTTTGTTTTTTGGGTCACAGCCAGCGATGCTCAGGGGTTACTCCTGGCTTTGCACTCAGGAGTTATTCCTTGTGATGCTTGGGGGACCATATGGGATGCCGGAGATGGAACCCAGAGATTGAACCCAGGTCGGCCGCGTGAAAGGCAAATGTCCTACCCGCTGTACTATCACTCTGACCCCAATAAAGACAGCGTTTTCCATAAGAAAATAGCAACAGCATAGTGTTTGAGAGCTTAGACACACCCAGCTGTGCTCAGAGCTTACTCTTGATTCTGGCTTCAAAACTGCCTGAATTGGGGCTGGAACAATAGCACAGCAGGTAGGGCATTTGCCTTGCATGCGGCTGACCCAGGTTCAATTCCCAGCATCCCATATGGTCCCCTGAGCACTGCCAGGAGTAATTCCTGAGTGCATGAGCCAGGAGTAACCCCTGAACATTGCCCGAATGTGAGGCTGGAGAAATAGTATGACAGGCAGGGATTTGCTCTGCATGTGGTCCACCCAGGCTCGATCCCCGGCACTCTATAATGGTCCCTTAAGCTTTGCCACGAGTAATTTCTGGGTGCAAAGCCAGGAGCAACCCCTGAGCATTTCCAGGTAGAACCCCAAAATAAATTTTTTTAAAAGCCTGCCTGAATTAATATCAGAGCTCCATTAATCCCCAGCTGGATGGCCTGGAGGAAAGCCTCCCCCTCACTCAGCAGTTCTGGAGTGAGAAATGGATAGTAGTATGGGCTGGAGAGATATTACACAGGGTCAGGCACTCTGCCTTGCACATGGCCACCCAGGTTAAATGCCTGGTACCCCCATATGTCCCCTGACCCTGCTAAGCAAGACCCTTGGCAGATCCAGGAGTAAGCCTGGAGCACAGAGCATGCAGATCAAACCAATAAATAAATAAATAAATAAATAAATAAATAAATAAACAGTACCTATTTCACAGGGTTATTGGGAGGCCTAAATGAGATACAATATTGTTTATTAAAACAAATTTATAAGAGCCTGTGGTCATCAGTAAACAATCAAAGGCTGAGAAAATTTGTCCAGAGAAGGGAAATTATTATTATTATTATTATTATTATTTTGCTTTTTGGGTCACACCTGGCGATGCACAGGGGTTACTCCTGGCAGTGCTCAGGTGACCCTACGGGATGCTGGGAATCGAACCCAGGCAGCCACGTGCAAGGCAAATGCTCCAGTCCCCCAGGAAAGGGAAATTTAACTGCAAGTATGCTTGAGTCTAAAGTCTGATTCTGGGGGCCAGTTAGTACAAGTAGACTACTTGATTTGCACATGACTGACCTGGGTTCAATCTCCAGCACCCCATAGGATCCCCTGAGGCCCACCAGGAGTGATCCCTGTGCACAGAATCAGGAGTAAGCCCTTAGCACCGCTGGGCGTGTCTCAAAAAAGACAGACAAAAAATTACAAAGTCTGATTCTGCTTAGATCTTTGTATTCTAACTTCAAAGCATTCACATGGGGCAAAAATCTATATTTTAAAATAGCACTGTTGGGGCTGGAGCGATAGCACAGTGGGGAGGGCGTTTGCCTTGCACGCAGCCAACATGGCCGATACAGGTTCGATTCCCAGCATCCCATATGGTCCCCCGAGCACCGCCAGGAGTGATTCCTGAGTGTATGAGCCAGGAGTAACCCCTGAGCATCGCTGGGTGTGACCCAAAAAGCAAAAAAAAAAATAAAATAAAATAAATAGCACTGTCATTGACAAGTACGTGTCAAGAACCTTTACAAGCACTTCAAGAATAAGTTAAAGGGGCTGGAGAGAGAGTCCAGCAGGAAGGTGCTTTCCTGACACATGACTGACGTGGGCAAAATCCCTGGCACCACAGATGGTCCTAGAGCACCACCAAGAGTGACCCCTGAGTAAGCCCTGAGCATTGCCAAGTGTGTGTGGCCCCAAATCCAATAACAAATAAATAAAAGAATAAATTTTAAAATAAAACTTAAAATACTCAGCAGATCTGGGGGCTGGGGGGTAGGGACTGGAGCAATCGTACAATGGGTAGGGCATTTGCCTCACACACGGTCAAGCTGGGTTACATTCCCAGCACCCTAGCATCCCATATGGGCCCCTGAGCCTGCTCGGAGAAATTCCTGAATACAGAACCAGGTGTAACTCCTGAGCATCCCAGTGTGGCAAAAAAAAAAAAGGCCTAGATCTGAGGGCCAGAGCAATAGTACAATGGGTAGGGCCCTTGCCTAGCATGGGGTCAACCCGGGCTTGCTCCCCAGTGCCCTATATAATACCCTAAGCCCATCAGGAATGACTGCTGAGCAGAGCCAGGAGTGACCCCTGAACACCACAAAGTAACCCTGCACTGTAGCACTGTCCTCGCATTGTTCATCGATTTGCTCGAGCGGGCCCAGTAACGTCTCCATCGTGAGACTTGTTACCATATTTTGCATATCAAATACGTCACACCAGGCTTTGCCGTGTGGACTTAATATTCTTGGTAGCTTGCCGGGCTGGCCCAAAAATAAACAAACAAAAGAGATT